GGAAAGATGGAGGCGATGGGGTAGGAGTGGGGGCGAAAGGAGCCTGGAGATGAGGGGAGGGCCTGGGGGCTGGGGGCACAGGAGGCGCGCCTGGGATGCTGGGGGAGCCAGGCTGGCCATGAGGACTTTCAGGAAGAGGTGACATCCAATGTCTTAACACAAGGAGGGGGCTAGGCAGGAGGCCCGGCTGTACAGAGAGCAGGAGGCAGGACAGAGTTGGGCTTGGAAGGGGTTAGATCAGCACCGGGCTGACCCAGTCAAGCAAGTGCAGGGAAGCTATGGGATGGGGGGGCGAAGGGGGCAAGCCAGGGGGGCCCCTCGTCTCTCTCTGTCTGCAGCCTCTGGGGACAGGCCCTGGAGGGACCTGCCCCAGATGGGGGACAGACTGAGCCCAGGCCCACCAGGGCCAGAAGGCAGCACTCGGAGGAGGAAGATGGGGCTTTCCGAGCTCTGGATGGGTCTGAGCGCAGGGTGGCTCATGTCACATGTGCACACACAGATGACAGAAACCTTGGCTCTGCAGAACTGCACCGGCCCGCCATGTGTGAGGGACCACCTGCCTGCCCCCATGTGCGAGGGACTCAGGGTTCTTCTGCATGGCGATGGGTGATTGTCCATTTCATTCACAAAAGCTCATTGTAACCCAAGGAAGGGACTTGACACCCTTGGTTTGGCTGTGCTGTGGCAACTGTGGAGTTTCTCAGTGAGGAGAGGAGCAAGAGGGGTGTGCCATGCATCTTTCTGAGCAGGGATGGCCACAGCCTGAGGCTGGGAAGGAAGGTGGAGGCCAGTGCTGAGGTGGGGCCTCCTCGGGGAGGAGGCAGGAGAGCTTCCAGCCTGGCAGGTGTGGGGAAAGGCAAGTTCCTGTGGAGGCTGGCTCGCTTGAGAGGTGTCAGAGCACCTAGGGCAGGACTTGTGGGAGGATGGGACTGTGAGGAGGAGCCAGGGACACACAGGTCCCTGAGTGGAGGCTGGGGAGGGGATGGGGCCAGTTCAGAGCAAGTGTCTCACAAGCTGCCCGCCCCCCAGGGGAGGGAAGGAGGGCGGAGGAGGGACTAGGGAGACTGAGGACAGGAGGCTACAGGCTTGCCCCTCCCCTCAACCCGCCCTCTCCTGTCCTCCGGCCCTCCTCCCTGTGAGCCTCCATCTTGCAGTGTGTGGAAGCTTTCAGAAGCAATTCCCTGGAGCTGGTTCTCTCCAGGAAATAGGTCCTTTTTCCATGGAAGTCTGGCCATCTGTTAGCCACGTTTCACCCAGGACAGGTCTCTCCTGGGACATTTCTAGTGCCCAAGCGGCGAATGTGTCAGAGCTGTGTTCTGCTGTCCTGGCCCTGGAGGTCTGAGATGGATCGTCTGGTTTGGCCCCACATACGGGGTGTACAAGAGGAGGGCGGGGAGCAGCGGCTGCTGAGCGCCCCTGAGGGCCATGATCAGTGGGGCAGGTGGGACGGAGTGGGTGGGGGATTCGCTGAGCACTGAGAGGGGCTGGCAGGAGGGGTGTGGGGATTCGAGACAAGCTAAGAGGGTCCTTGTCCACCCCATGACCTCTCTCCTTCCACCTGTGGTGTCCCCACGCCCACATCCACCTCTGGTGCTCACGTGTTCTCGAGCACCTCCAGCCCAGGAGTGGAGCCCACGTGAGGTGCTCGGCACACATTGGCCTATGTAATGGAGTGGGATGGTGAGCCACGGCCCAGAGTGGATGGGATAGGGGATGTGTGTGTGGGGTTGGGGTCACAGGGCAGATGGAGGAGGGCTGGAGATGCAGAGCAGAAGACACACTGAGCCCATAGCCCACCCGGGGCCAAGTCAGGGTCACCTGTCCATCCGGCCAGGCAGCAGCACTGGCCCGTGACGGGGTCGCAGCTGTCAGCATGGTTGCAGTCACAGTGCTCACTGCAATTCAGCCCGAACGTGCCGTCCTGGGGGAAGCGGGAGAGGAGATGGTGGTCAGGCCTCGACCCCAGAGGTCCCTGCATGTCTGCTGGGTCTTGATGACACCCCGGGCCCCAAGCCCAAGGGGCTGCAGACGGGCCGGGCAGTGTGGACACGTCCGGCAATCAGGGCAGCCATGAAGCCATGCTCAAGAACTGCCTGGCTGTGTGAATGGGAGCACAGCCTGGGGGAGGAGGGGGCAATCCTGCCTCCTTTCTAAGGGTCAACTCGGAGGCCTGCAGCGACCACATGGAGGTTGTTGATGGAAACGCGTCTGACAGAGTTGATGCTGGGATGCTCATAGGCTGCACTGGGGAGGGAGGCAGCCAGTCCTTGGAGGCTCAGTAGTGCACAGTCCTTGCCATGGCCCGATCAGGAGGTTCTGTCACGTCCACTTCACAGGTGAGAACCGGGATCAAAGAGGCAGGCTGACAGGCTCAGGGTCACATAGGTGGTGGCAGGGTTGGAACTCAAACCCAGGACCCAAGACTCCAGAGTCCATGTCACACAACAGTGTACATTGCTCAACAGGTCTAATGCGAGTACCTCGGACCCCTGAGGGCAGCATCGGGCTGGGTGGCTGCAGCACAGAGCCCGTGCAAGCCCTGCTCCAGGTCATGGGTGCTGCCAGAGTGAAGGGAGCCTCGGACTGCCTGTGCAGGAAGGGTCTCTCGGGTCAGCCTCCGCGCCACACCGTGAAGACTGAAGCTGCATTGGCACTGGCGCCCACTAACGATGCTCACAAGGAATGGCGAAGGTATGATGTCAGGTGCCCTGCCTGCAGTCTGTCACTTCACGGATGTAGGGAAGGGGGCAGCGGGTGAGGCAGGTCTGGGACCCGCATCTGAGTATCCCCAATCCCAGGGCTCCACTCTGAGCACCCGGGACGAGATAGCCCCAGGAGAGGGCATGAGGGGTAGTCGGCCCCACTCACCGGGCAGGGCTGCTCGCAGGCGTCCCCCAGCCAGCCGGGCGCACAGGTGCAGGTACCGTCCGTGGGACTGCAGGCCGCCCCGTTGGCGCAGACACAGCACTCGCTGCAGTTCCGGCCCCATGTTCCACGGGGACACGGCAGGCTGCAGTCGGGGCCCTGCCACCCTGTGTGGAGGAAGGGCCGTCACCTGGACGTCCTAGGCCCAGCTCCAGGGGACATGCATCCTACACGTGTCCGCAGGAGCTCACAACTGCCAGGAGTCCCCACGGCCCCATCCAGCCCCTCAGTCCCAGGAGGGGGCAGCATCCTGCACGTGTCAGGGCCTCCATGCCCTGCAGCTCAGAATGCATGACCCTCATGTGGTCCCAGGATGGGTGTTCCCCACGGAGACACCCACTGGCCTGGGCTGCGTGCCATGCGTGAGGTGCGGGGGGGCGGCCACGCTACCTTCCATGCAGGTGCAGGAACCATCCACCGGGGAACAGGTGCCATCATTGTCACAGCTGCAGATGGATGAGCAGTTGGGGCCGAAGGTCCCCGCAGCACACGGGACCTCGCAGACCTCTCCCTGGGGGAGATCTGGAGTCAAGGTGGTCCCGGACTGGGCACTTATGGTGGGCAGGACCTCTCCTTGGGGGGAATTTGGGGTCAAGTTGCCCCAGACTGGGCCGCTGTGGTAGGTAGGACCTCTCCCTGGGGGGATCTGGGGTCGGGTGGCCCCTGGCTGGGTGGCTCTGGTGGGCGGGACCTCTCCCTGGGAAGATTTGGAGTCAGGGTGGCCTTTGATCAGGCAGAACCTCTCCTTGGAGGGATCTGGGGTGAGGGTGGCAGGAGCGTGGTGGCCTTACATGATGGCACAGCCCAAGAAAGGGACCTCGGTCCTGGGATGACAGCCCGAGAAAGGGACCTCGGTCCTGCTCGTCAGGAAGGAATTCTGCCCACAGCACAAATGACCAGGGAACAGCCTTGCCTGAGGCTTCCGGAGGGACCTGGCCCCAACCTCTGGCTTTGACCTCTGGTCCTCATCTCTGTCCTAACCTCCGGCCATGGGCTTTGAGGTCACAACTCTGCTGTTTTAGGCCTGGATCCTCCGTCACATACATCAGCGACAAGAGATGAGCACAGTCCCCTCACTGGCTATGGAGGGTCCAGTCCTAGGCCCAGCTCTGGGAGGGGACGGCCCCTAGGAATGACCAGAGTCAGGTGGGTCGGGCTTGGAACTTGGGCCTCTGCCCCTGGCCTCGCTCAATTCTCAGCAACAGCCTGGGACACGTGGCCACACCAACGCGAGTGCCTGAAGCTGAGCGGTCCAACATGGACCTTCAGGGCGACTTGAGTCGCAAGCATTTTGAGACCACGTGCCATGCATGCGTCCTGCCACATCTTAGGGGACAGCAGCTGTGCTCTCAGCACTGCTCAACCACAGTGGGGACGTCAGTCCCTGCCAAGGTCACAGAGCAGAACGGCTGGCCATGTCACCCTTGGCAAGGAGAAGAGGTGTGCGCTTTTGGAAGTAACCCCCAGGGCCAGGGAGGAGGACAAGGCCCGGAGCTGAATGAACTCAGGTGGTCCTGGGACAGTAGGCCTGTGTACCCCCATCAGCCCCAGAGTCCACTGCCAGAGGGGTGCAGCCCAGAAGAATTGAAGGACTGAAGCAGTTTCCAGAGGGAACTTCTGGGAGCACCAAGGCCCAGAGGCCCCATGGTGGGCCAGGTCTACCCGACCAACATGAGGCTAGACCAACATGAGGCTGGAAGCCACCCAGGCCCTCAGCAGCCCTCCACCCCCCAGCAGGCTCCCGCCCCTTCTCCTCCAGGCACCAACCAAGCCTTCACAAAGCAATCACAAGCAGATCCATCTCGCTTCAGGAGGGCTCCCAGGAGGACACCCAGGTTCCTCCCTGCCCGCCCCACAGTGCTCACCCACTGTCCGCTCCACTCACACGCTCTGCAAGCAGTTGCAAGTGTGCTGGACGCTGTGCTGGGCAGGGACACACAGGGGGGCAGGCTTGTCCCCGTCTCGTCTCATCTCGACTTAGCAGCTACAGCCTGCTTCCCCTCCCCCCATGGTTCCCGTACTCCCCCAGCGGGGCTGCTCTGATGTCCAATGTCACATCTGTGCCAGTCACACACGCATGTCTTGTAACGACACGCAGGGCCCCCTGCCACGAGCTCCTGCTCCATGCCAAGCAGACGCCAGCCCTGGGTGGCCACACTCTCCGCCCACCCCCAGCTCTGGGTGGGAGCCTTGTGTGTGATTTTCCAGGCAGAGAGTGACACGGGGCCCACAAGGCAAAGGGAGACTCGCTTGTCTCAACATTAGCTGAGTGGCCGCTCCGATGCACAACAAACCTCACTGGACCTAATTACTGTGTCGCCGAGGAAGCAGCCACGACAGCAGAGGCTGCTAGGAGGAGGCTCTGCATGAGGTGCACAGAGCAGCACACCAGGGGATGAGGAACAGGGGATGAGGAGGAGGGAGGCACGGGGCCATTTGTCACACCTCCTGCCTCCCTGCCTCCCTGGCTGAGGAGGATTCCAGGGTCTGTGGCTGAGTCCCTCTGTCTGGCTCCCATGGAGGGGGAAGAAGGACAGAAGTTAGGACTGAAAGCCCCTGAACATCCACCTCACCTATGTCTATCTGAAATGAACAGGCTGCCAGTGGCCAGAGGCTGCTCTGGACAGTTGTGTAGGATGTACACTGCACAACTCTAGATGCCACTCACATGACAGTCATGACAGATTTGTGTATACATCACATCCACTTCCTGGCAGATGTTGGTGGAACGTCTTGGAAAAGGGTTCCGTTTCTAATGTGTATGATATGCTCTGTGGCTCTGACTCCCAAGAGGCCTCCCTGGAGGCTCACAGACACAGTCTAACAGCGATGTCCTAGGAAGAGCCAGATGGCAGAGGGCATGGCCCAGGAAGGACATCCACTCTAGGCTATGACTGTGCCCTGGAGCCCTGCCCAGTGCTGGGGAGACAGTGCCTCCTCTCCTTGGCATGGACGCCCTGCCCTGATCCAGGCCCTGCCCCTTCTCCAGCCTTTCTCTTCCCCAAGTCTCCACTGAGCTCTGAGAAGGCATCACTGTGAACACAGATATCTCAGTCAAACTCAGGAGAGACCCTGGATGTCTAAATCTTGGAGACTTTGGCATGGGGCATACGCATGACAGGTAGCCTGGGGTGTGGGGGTGGGCAGGACTCTGGCCCTCACCATGGACCACTCTCACCCCTCCAGGCCATCCCACGCTGTCACAGGAGGAGGGAAGCCCCACCATGGCCAGCCTGAGCCGGGCACCTGGATCTCTTGCCTCTGTCCGATAACAGCCCAGCAGGGAGGGGGTTGCCTTCCTGGGAGAACCATCCTTGAGGGTCACTTGCACCAAGTCGCCCCACAGAGGGACACACTGACTTTGAAGTCCAAGCTCTCTGGCTGGACCAGGCTGCCTGACAGATGGGTCAGGAATGCTGGGGACTCGGGCATCCTGGCTCCCGTGATGTGCCAGGCTCTGATGGCGGCCCATGTATGCCACCGACTAAACGGATACTGGCGATGGTGGCAGGTACGGCAGGGGATTGTGGAGGGGACCCATGTGAGGAGGCCATGGAGTGCAGGTGACTCGGGGCTCGTGGGGCAAAGCGGGGGCATGAAATGACAGCAGTGGGCATGCTCTGGGCAGTCAGGGTCCCCTGAGGGTGGCGCTGCTGCAGGGATGGAGACTTGGCTGGTGTCGTGCCTGCATCTGGGCCAGCTCTCGTCTGGTGCTGATGCTCTGTGGCCTGCTTTGGTGAGCCTGTGCGTGCGTGTGCAACTTTGTGTGTGCGTGTGTGTGCACACGTGTGCAAGCAGTATACACGCCTGACATGTGCCACCTGTGGCCTATTTGGGTGTATGCCCCAGACGTCCAAGGTGCTTTGTATGTAGTGCAGACCAGGTCAGGGACGTGTGTGTGTGTGTGTGTGTGTGTATGGGGGGTTGGGGGCAGAATGGGAGAGGGGAGGGATGTGGGCAGGGAACGTATGGCGTGTGGATGGGCACAGGTGGACTGGGCCTGGGGGTGGAGAGTTGGGGACCCCAGGGGAGAGACAGACTGAAGGAGGGCTTGACATGAGGGCATGTGGGGTTTCCTGAGCCAGGCAGCTTGGATTTGCTGGAGCTCAGGGCGGGTCATGGGTGGGTGAGGGGCAGTGACAGAGCTGGAGGTCAGCTTCAATGCTAGGCCTCAGACCTTGCCTCAGAAGATAATGGTGGTGACCTGCATGTTTGCAGCAGCAGCATGCACCATGAAAAATGAACAAAGGACACGAACAGACACTTCTCAAAGGAAGACACACACGTAGCCGACAAACATAAGAAAACTCCACACCACCAACCGCCAGAGAAATGCAATCAAGCCACATGAGGTGCCAGCTCACACCAGCCAGACAAGTGTTGCAAAGTCAACGACCAACAGATGTTGACGAGGTTGTGAGAAAAAGGGAACACTCGTATGCTGCTGGCGGGAACAGAAGCCTCCCTGTGGAAAGCAGCTAGTAGATTTCTCAAAGAACTAAAAACAGGTTTACCATGTGACCCAGCAATACCGCTGCTAGGCAAGTACCCAAAGGAGCATAAGTCACTCTACCAACAAACATCTGCACACATATGCCTATCACAGCACTATTCACAATAGCAAAAACACAGCATCAACCCAGGTGTCCACAAGCGGTGGACTGGATAAGGAAAATGTGGTCAATATAGACCGTGGAATAGTACGCAGCCACAAAGAGAACAAAACCATGCCCTCTGCCACAGCATGGATGCAGCTGGCGACCATCGTTCGAGGTGAATTAATGCAGGAACCGAAAAATCAATGACTGCGTGTTCTCACCAATGAGTGGGAGGTGAACCCTGGGTGCACGTGGGTGTGACGGGGAGACACAGACACGAGGGACTCCTGGGGGAGGGGCAAGGGCTGAGAAACTGCCTCCGTCTGAGCACAGGCTCAACAGAAGCCAGCCCCGCACCATTCAATGGTCCACACAGCTGACCTCTGCTCCGGGATTTAAGACACAAGAGTGGCCTCCCCCGAGTGGCCAGCGACCAGCTCCAGCCTGTTCTCAGAACCCTCCAGGCTGGGGTCTGGCCGCCTCCTCGCGGGCTGAGTCCAGATGCAGGCAAGTCCACCAGCGTCTGGGTTGTGGAGCCGCTGAATGACCGTTGTGGACAGACGCCAAGACAACCCAGAAGCCAACATGGGGGGGCTTCCTCGGGGGCTGCCCATGCTCCTGCTCCCTCCCCTGCCCTGTGCACACTTGGACCCTTCTTGCAGCTTCCCAGGTGGCTCTGGCTGCTGAGGCTGTGGGTGTGTCACCGCATGGGGCCTGGGGTGTGCAGCCTCAGGGCCCTGGGCCTGTGCAGGCAGGAGCGTTGGGGGGACGCCCCCGGGGAAAGGACTGTGGCTGAAGGAGGGAGGCTTGGGGAGGGCTCTAAAGAAGCGCGTCCTCTTCTGCACGTGACCTCGCCCACCTGTGACCTCCCCAACGTGTGTTCCTGCCCGCTTGTGTGACCTTGCCTAGGTGTCCTTGCCCGCCTGTGACCTGGCCTGTGTATGTTCTCACCCACATGACCTCGTCCATGTGTGATCTCGCCTGCGTGTGACCTCACTCATGTGACCGTCTCTGTGTGTGACCTCACCTGCGTGTCCTCGCCCGTGTGATCTCACCCATGTGACCTCATCCATGTATGACCTCACCCGTGTGACCTCATCTGTGTGTGACCTCGCCTGTGTGTGAACTCACCTGTGTGATCTTATCCATGTGTGACCTCACCTGCGTGTCCTCGCTCACCTGTGACCTGGCCCGTGTGTCCACACCCACATCCTAGCCCATCTGTGACTTTCCCTGTGTGTGTTCCTATCTGCCTGTGTGACCTCACTCCTGTGTGTCCTCACCCGTGTGACTTCACCTGTGTCCTTGCCTACCTGTGATCTTGCCTGTGTGACCTCTCCCGTATGACCGTACCCACTCATGACCTCACTGGGCCTGTGTCCTGACTTTCGAGGGGTGAGCCCTCAGGGTGGGCCCTCAGTGTAGTGAGCACCTGTGTGGTGGCCAAGGGTGTTTGCAGGGAAGGACTGGGAGTGGGTGGCAGTATAGGGATGCCTGGGAGCCCTTCCAGCCACCACCTGGGAGTGGGCGTCCCCACTGACCCATTGCTGGGCCCTGTTGGCCGCAGCACCCATGCCCTGACCTGTGGCCTGTTAGGGCTTCACCCTGTGGTGCAACCACCATCTCCCTACACGGGGGTTGAGACTGTTTTTATCGGCTGTCCCCTGCTCAAGCCCTGGTGGTCCCTCTGACCCCACACCCTGTTCTCTCTCTATCCGGAGCCCTGGCTGCCCTGGCCTTCTCAGGGACCCTAATCCCTCTCCACCATGCGTGTGGGAGGGAGGGAAGGTGAGTTCTCGACGTCTGGGGGAGCGTATGTGCCTGGCAGCTTCTGCATTTACCTGTTGTCCGTCCTCTCATCAGCCCTCCTGAGTCAATGGCCACCTCTCTTGTCATGCCTTCTGCAGGGTTCTCTGCCCCAGATGACTCCCATGGACAGGATCATGGGCTGAGGACTCGGGGTGCCTGATGGGGGCGTGGGTGGCAGGAGCAGGTGGCCCCTCGGATTCGGACTCAGAGTGGGAGTCCGAGCCTGGGGGTCTTTTGCAAGTGGGGTGCGCAGCTGCCCCACCCTGGGGCTGGCATGAGGCTCATTGAGACAAGGTGCTGGGAACAGAGGGACCCTCAGTCCCCAGCTCCCCATGGTGCTGCTGTGAGGAAGAGGCTGACCATGCACAGCACAGGGTGTCCCCACCCCACATAGTGGCTCCTACTCCAGACTCATCCCTACCCCCTGAAGACTGTGGGATCAGACCTAGGCCGTGAGTTCTGGCCGGGGCTGGGGGTCAGGGCCTCCACAGAGAGACGGGACCTCCCAGGGTGAGGCCTCAACCCTGCCTGTCAGCCCCCGTGAGTAGCACCAGGCTCAAGACCACAACCCCGAGAAAGGGGCACCGGGCATGGAGGTAGCTGAGAGGCCAGCATTGAGTCAGTAGTTTCCCTAACGAAGCTGCAGCCATGCAAGCCCAGAGGGAGGCTGGGCTGGCCTCCGTGACAAGAAGTCAACTCTCCCGCTTTGCTCCATGGTGAATGGCTGGTGGGGCTTAGCCTGTTGACACCCTACTTCCCTGCAGGGAAAGACGAGTGTCCGCCCTGGGTCAGCCACGAGACATGGGTGGAGGCCGGAGGACCCTGGGCTGGTGCTGGGACAAGGGCTGGGAGTCGTGTCGCCCACATCCACCCTGTTGTAACCACCTGCTGTGTGACCCTAGATGAGTGCCTTTTCTGAGAGGGAGGGGTGGGAGGGTTGTGGGTGTCTGACAGTGTGTGCGCGTGCATGTGTCCATGTCTGTCTCTATGCGTCTCTGTGTGTCTATCTCTCTATCTGTGTCTCTGTTTCTGTGTATGTTTCTGTGTATCTGTGTGTATCTGTCTCTGCATGTCTCTCTGTGTCTGTGTGTCTGTCTCTGTATGTCTCTCTGTGTGCCTGTGTGTCTCTGTCTATCCCTGTCTCTGTGTATCTGTGTATCTCCCTGTCTATCTCTCTGTCTCTGCGTGTGTCTGTGTGTCTCTGTGTGCACACACATCTATCTGTATTTGTGAGTTGTTTCTGCCATGCTGCACTCTCTGTGCTCCTGTCCTGCGGGCCTTGTGTCGGGAGAGTAGACTACCCCCATCAGGTAGCGCCAGGAACAAGTTTTGCCAATTTAGTAATTAGGAAATGGGGGGGGGCATTCTGCTCCAGGCTGATGCCTACAGGCCTCACTGGCTGGGAAGAGCAAAGCCATGCACACCTTGCACATCTGTCACTGTGCAGTGTCCAGCCTGTCCCCTCCTGCACTCCAGCTCAGGAGCCACCAAGGTCAGGGAGGCCAGGAGACAGGGAGGTGGGGAGGCCGGAGGGGCACTTGAAAGGACGTCCAAGCCCCAGAGGAGGCACCGTTCCTGCTTGCTGACCCAGACTCTCGACCCTGCCCTCCGCCTCCTGGCCAGGCAGCTGGGGTTCCCACAATGACTGCCGTGTGAGGAGAGGACAGGCGGCAGGGGCTTGCCCACCTGGGGATGAGTGCCTGCAGCCTCGCCAGTGAGCATGCAAGATACGGCAGACACTGCTTCAACAAACTGCAGCAACCAGGGATGAGCCCTTCCAGGCAGCAGAACCACTGTCGTCCTGGGGAGACACACGGGCCTCCCGCTCCGGCCAAGTGGAGTCTGAAGGAGCCTCAGCAGAGGGTGGCCACAGGGCCCTGTGTGGGTGGCCAGGAGGGGACTGGGAATCATGTCTCCGGCCCTGGCAGTGGCCTCACACCCAGGGGGCGGCAATTAGTCCTGAGCTGCGAGGCGCCTTCACCAGGCTGGCCACCCAGGTGGGGCCTGAATACATGTGGAGAGCAGTCAGCGGAGCAGTCCATGGGGCACATGGAGCAGTCCATTGGGTTCCCAGGGGAGGCGGACTCTCCTCTCCCCACTCTGCCCGCTTTCTTTCCCCCTACGGCCACCTTACTCCCAAATGGGGCACTGGACCAGGGCCAGTCAGTCCCTTGGGCGGAGACCCCTTGGGGTCCAGAGCGGTGGCATCATCATCAGTAATAACAATAATAATAACAAACACTTGCTGAAGACTCCTCAGGTGCTGTGCACTAAGTACTCCATGTTAACTCAGCCTGTCCAACAGTCCCAGGGTGCTGTAACTCTCTTTTCAATACAAGGAAATGGGCACAGAAAGGCACAGCGTCTTGCCCCAGGTCGCACAGCTGATAAGCAGTGGAAGGTGGGCTTAGTGCCCGTCTTCGCATGACCCATGTGCGAAGCCACAGCGACAGCCCGGCCTCTGGGAGCCACCCCGCCCTGCGACCCTGGTGGAAGGCCACCTCTGTGCTCCGAGGCAGGAGCATGTCTTACCATGTAGCCTGGGGCACAGGTGCAGCCTCCGGTGACGCTGTGGCAGTGGGCACCGTTCCGGCAGGGGCAGGGCAGCCGGCAGCTGTCGCCGTAGGAGCCCACGGGGCAGGATTCATTGCAGTGGCGGCCAGACCAGCCTGGCTGGCAGGAGCAGACCCCGGTCACTGGGTGGCAGCTGCACAGAAAGAGGAGTATGAGAATGTAGGCGGTTGGCCCCTCCACCCACCGTGTGTTTGCGGTCAGGAGAGTGGGGGCAAGGTCCCTCGGTGTAAGGCACATGGCAGGAGGTGACGGTCAGATCAGAATATAGGTGTCCTGTCATTCAACCACACAGACTCTGGAGCAGAGGTGGCCTCCCCTGTAGACTATGTTGTCCGAGCTTCCCCCTCTGCCCAAGGCAGACAAGGTGTGGGGACAGGCAGGGGAAGGCAGCTGGGACGCCGCAGCTCTCCATGTCTAGGCTTAGCAGACACTGGCAGAGTCAGGCAAGTCAGTCAACTGGGGCAGATGCGGCCCCCTCTGACCATGTCTGCCCTGGAGAGACCCCAGACCGCCCCTCTCTGCTTTTCCAGGTTCTTCAACGGCAAGTGATCTCCCCTCCACCCTCTCGTCTAGGCCAGAGAACTGACCCCAGCTGGAGGCAGGAGCTCTGGGTGTGACCTGGTGCTCACTGGTAATTGGGGTGCCAGGTGTGGCGACCACAGGCTGCTCAGGGTGCCGGCAGGAGAGCCGCTGACATGTGGCCCAGCTGCTGTGGGTGACACCCACAGGTCACAGTTCTCCAGGGCTGCTCCCACTTGGCACAGCAGGGACACTGAGGTGGGCATGCTCCCAGGAGACCCAGGATTCCTGGGCACCCCAGTTCCAGGATGCCTGTCTTCCACACGTCCTGAGAATTGTGTGGGCGCCGAGACCTCCCACCCACCTTCCCTTCTCCCCCTTCCACCCCTGGGCCCAGCAGCTCCGGCCTCTGGATTTTCTCCATCTTCCCTCGAAGGCAAGTTCCCTGTGACTCTCTTGTGCTGGGCATCTGCCCTTGAGAGGGCCAAGTCAGCCGGATGGTGGAGACAGGTCTGTCGGTTCCGGTCACCTGCTCCCCCCAGCACCCCCACTCAGGAGTCCTCCTGTGGGCAGGAGTTGCCTGCCTGGGGGAACATGCGAAGCTTGTTCAGGGCACAGTAGGAGCCTGTGCATGGGTTTTGGTTCTGTGAGGTCTATAAGAGCAGGGGCTTTGTCCCTCGGGGCCACCAGGTGTCCCCAGTGCCTGATTCACATCTACTGCCCAAGTAAATATGTGGATAAGAATACAGCTTTCACAGAATCCGCTTGCTTCCAGGATGACTGTCATCTGTCCTGACTAGTGCCAGCTCCGGGGCCCATGTCCCATGCTCCTTCAGGGTCCCTTTCCCCCACACCTGGGTACCCAACGCATGCAGTGAATTAACTGACACACAGACTAACTGTGGGCCTGCCCAGTTGCTGCCTTGCTGGGATCTGGTTTCCTCCGAAGATGGACAGCGAGTGCAGGCAGCTGGTCATCCCTGGGCAAGCGTTTAGGCTCGTACATCCCAGGTTCACATGACAACTGGACCTCTTCTCCTCTGTCAGGGTTAAGATGCAGGAGAGGTTTCTGGACACCTGAGGTCACGTGGACAACTGGGTCCAGGAGACCTGGACGTTCAGTCTTGTCTTACAATTCCATCCCCAGGAGTCTGTCTTGGGGCCACATCACAGCCGTGAGAAAAATAGGCACAGAGAAGGTTCCTGAGCACTGTTTACACCCGTGGAAATGAAAGTGACATAAGAAATACCAACATGTGCCTAGGCCCTTAAGGCCCCAGGCACTCCACACACGAGTTTTCAAGTTAGGCTCTGGCCTCTCTGTCCTCAAGAGGGACTTGGGGGTCACCAATCTGCCCAAGGCCACACGGTGATGCCTGCAATGGCAGAGCTGGGATTCCAACCCATCATCCTTGCCCTGCCGCCTCCCACCACAGGGTCTGACTAGAAAAGCAAGGCTGCCATGTGGAGAGACAGTGGACCAGCAGTCAGCTGTCTTCCCACACGTCACGATCCCATACAAGGCCACGTGAACTAAAACCGTACAGTTGTGATGTGAAAGATGAACAGTGACAAAGATGCTGATGCAATGGAGAAGGAACATGCTGGGCACTGTCATGACCAGCTCTGGGGTAACAGTCACACTTGACTTGGTTTCCCTTTCGAATGTCTATGCACCTGGCCCGGCAGGCTGAATGTCCGCTGTTCTCCCAGCAGGGTTTGAGCTACACGTGTCAAGGTATGTCAGGAGGAAGTGGGCGCGAAGGTGAGCATCCAGACCCTCTGACCTTCCATGGGAGAAGGCCTTCCCTGGGCCCCTAGCACTGCAGGTGGGACAGGGACCTGCCCAGTGTCCAGGGTGGGGTGCCCTGCGTGGCCCTGACCCACCAACGTCAGTTCTGGGGCATGGCTTTCCCAACACTTCCAGTGAAGTCTCAGACACGGCCTCCAGGAGTTCAGGTTTAGGGAGAGGGACTGGCTCCATCCCAGCTGCCAAGATGGGCATGCTGGGACCCAGTGGCCCTGGTCTCACCGCGGAACCCAGGAGGCCTTGGGAATCCCAGCCTTCCTGTCCACAGATCCTTCTGCTGCTTCTGCCTCACAAGCGGTCATGCCACTGCTCTCATATCAGGGAGGACACTGCCCGTGAGAGCATGCCGGACACACATGGGTGGCCAGTGCTGGCTTCTTGGGCTCCTTTGTCTTGCTTCTGGCTCTGTGACAGCACCTTGGCCTCTCAGGAATGTGGCTCAGCACCAATTTCACTCTTCATGCTGAGAATCAGGAGGCTCAAAATCACACGTGAGATCATTCTTTTCCTTTTCCTTCTGACATCTCTATGATTCTGTCTCTAGATGTGGGTATCTGTGTGCTTAAATGGATTCCTCGTCCATGTTTAAAATCTCCACAAGCTCCTTGGAAAAGAGGATGGGGGAGATGGTGGATGGCAATGGTGACCAAAAGCTGCAATTGCCACGCTCGGATCTCATCCTCTAGCAAGGGACTCGAACGCCCTCTCCCGGGCACTGCTGCTGCCAGCATGGGCCCTTGTCCTTGGGCCCCCATTCCTGGGTCATGTGCAGAAGCCAGGTCCATGAGAGCCCACAAGACTCCTCTCGGGGTGGTGACCATGATGGACAGACTGGGAAACAGGCATGGGAGGAGGGACACCTACATAAGACATGGGTGGGCCTGAGGTCAGGCTTTGGGGTCCTGCCTCACCTGGGCCTGTGGTTTAACTGCCTCTACGAGGCCTCATGGGGCCACTCTTTGCTTCCCCAGCTCTCAGAAGGCTCTACAGTAGGGCAAAGGCTCATGGGAAGGGGCCAGCCTGAAGCCACATGGAGGACGAGGGCCACTTCTGTGTCCACCAGAGCAAAGTCAAGCATAGCCAGAGAGCTCAGCAGACCAGGGGCTCCCAGTCCAGGCTGCCCGGCCTCCCACCCCACATAGGGACATCTGGAAGTGTCTGGGGACGTTGTCACAAGCTGGGTGGGTGGAGTTATGCTGTGTCCAGTGGGTAGAGGCAGGGAGACTGCAAACTTCCCAGAGTGTACGGGGCAGCCTGACTCAGGACATTGATCAGCCTGCATGATGCTGTCAGAACTGAGACAGCAAGCTGGATGGACATTGAGGTGGAGGGACACTGAGGTGTACAGACATCAGGCTGGACAGACAAAGAGCTGGAAGGACACAGAGCTGGACAGACACCAAGCTAGATGAACACCATGGGTGTCAGATGCAGGTACTGGCCATGTGACAGAGGGATATTTAAAAAGTAGAGCCATAGCTGGGCTTGGTGGCTCAGCCTGTAATCCTGGGCCTTGGGAGGCTGAGGTGAATGGATTGTCTGAGCCTGCGGGTTCGAGACCCACCTGGGCAACTTGGCGAGACCTCATCTCTGCAATAAATCAAAAATTAGCCAGGCGTGGTAGCGCGTGCCTGTAATTCTGGCTACTCGGACAGCTGAGGCTGAAGGATCTCCGGAGCCCAGCAGGTCGAGGCTGCAGTGGGCAGGAGCGGCCACTGCACTCCAGTCTGGGCGACAGAGCGAGACTACAACTCAAAAAAAAACAAAAAAAACAAAAACAAAAAGTAGAGCCATGGCTAGTCTGGGTGGCTCAGTCTGTAATCCCAACACTTTGGGAGGCCGAGGTGAGTGGACTGCCTGAGCCTGTGGGTTCGAGACCAGCCTGGGCAACTTGGCAAGACCTCAACTCTACAATAAATAAAAAATTAACTGGACATCGTAGCGCATGCCTATAGTTCCGGCTGAGGCAGACGGATTGCCGGAGCCTAGCAGTTCAACGCTGGGGTGACTGTGAGTGTGCCACTGAACTGCAGCCTGGGCAACAGAGTGAGACTCCAACTCCAAAAAAAAAAAAAAAAGTAGGGCCGGCAACAACAGGCACTCCTGATGCATGTTGCACCTGTACTGCCATGCTGAGGCCATAGGAGCTTATGCCTTCATGGGCCCAGGCCATAACAATGCTACCCTGGAAGAGGCAGGAGGCAGGTCTTCTGAGAGCTGTAGTTTCCTTTCATCCCAAGATGGATACATTGGAGACCAGAGCAAACAAGCATCAGCGCTGGACAGGTTGAGATCAGCAGTGGAAGGGGAGCCTATAGGCTAATAGGGCAGTGAGGACACCACAGAGGTTCAAGCCGCGTGGGGCCAGCTGCCCAGGCTCATGGGAAACCACATGGGCTCGGGGGGTCTCTGCACAGCGATGTTCCCTGCACTGGCCCCAACAGCAGCCTCGCCTCCTGTCCCTGAGTGAATCCTCCCTCCGCAGGAATGAGGGTCTGGGTACCGTCTTCCACCCTGGGGACAGTCTTAGCTGCTGCCAGTCCCTGGCCTGCCATGTGGGACCCCTGTGGTCAGAGACTTGGAGCTCTCACTCGGTCCCTGACCAATGAGGTAGTCACTCTGGTGTTTTCTGTACAGTCCTAGAGACCTAGCAGGGTCAGTGACCTGCATTCCATCCATTCAGAGATGCTCCTTGCCCCCATTTCCGCATCTGAAGTCAGTGTGTGGGAAGCCTGATGGCATGGTGTGGCTCGTGGCCAGGGACCCCCTCTTAGTAGCACATCCAGCTGTGCCTCCCTCTGGTGTTCATGTTGGGAGGAAACGGGAGAAGGTGTGTGTACTTCCCCCTGGTACCCTGCCAGCACTCCTTGTTTGTTGAACGAATGACTGAGCGGGTGAACGTTTAGGCCAGACACAGGCAGCTCTGCTGCTTCTAGGACCCCCTGATAGCCTCCTGCCCAGGCCTCCTGTCCAGGCCTCCACCCCACCCAGCCCCACCAGGCACTCAGCCCCCTTGGCCTGTTTCTGGCTAACTCACTTGCTGGATGTCACTGCACATGCCCAGAGGCCCCAGAGACCTTGAGGAAACCCAGAGGCTGGAAGGGAAGGGCTGGACTGAGCCCTGTCTGTGCCCACATCAGGCTCCAAGAGGAGGCGTTCTGTCTGCAAACAGCCAGGCTCCTGTGCCCAGTATGGCTGGTCCTTCTGAGCCCGAGGGGGACAGAGTCCCCCAGACCTCACCTCTTGGATAGGAGACAGCCGCATCCAGGCTGTGGGGACTCAGCGGGTGGGACAGGAGGGACAGGAGCTCAGGGCGAGGGCAGCTCTGGCCTCCCAGTTCACTCTGGATGTGGGCTGGGCAGCTTCCACCGGGTGTCCCCAAAATAGCAGGGACATGGAGCAAAGGGAGAGGCTGGACCCATGCCCAGGCCTGTGAAGGAGGACCCACCTGGTCAGCTCCTCCCCCTCTCTCTCCATAGACCTTGGATACACTCTCTAGACCTGGATCCCTTCTCCCTCCCCCCACAGGCACTGGACACCCTCCCTAGGCCTGGACTCCTTCCTCATCCTGTCATGAGGTCCTTGGCACCCTCTCTAGGCCCTGCCCCTCCTGATCCTCCCCCAAAAGTCCTAGACACCCTCCCTAGGCCTAGGCCTGGTCTCCTTTCTGCCTCTCCCATAAGCCCTGAACATCCTCCCTAGGCCCCGTCTGGCCACCTCCTCCCTCTCCATAGGCCCTGGTCACCCTCAGTAGGCCTGGACCCCCTTCCCCCTCCCCATCACAGGGTGCGGGACACCCTCTTTAGGCCCTGCCCCTGCCGCCCTTTCCCTACAGGCCCTGAGCACCCTCCTTAGCCCTGCTTCTCCTGCCCCTCTTGCCTCTCCTCATGGGCCCTGCATGCCTGCTTCTCCCTGCAGCCCTGCTTCTGGTGATGCCACGTGGAGGGGAATGTTCTCAGACCCTGCACTGAGCTGTGGCACCCCCAGCCCCACCAGCTCTGCCCCGGAATGTGCAGCCTTCTACCCCGCACCAGGGTCATCAAGCTACCTCCTGTGTGCGGATCAGACGGGAGCACAGGCAGCAGTGCAGGGCCCAAGGGGGACCAAGGGGAACTGGCCTCCCACCTTGGCCGGCTGCGTGGATGTGGCCCTTTCTCACTGTGGGCTCCAGAGCTGACGACTCAGACCCTTCCTCACCCAGCCTGGATGCACCGAGGGGTGCCATGGCCTGAGACACCCCCCCCAGCCCTGCCCCAATCCCTCCTCCCCCTCCCCTTCCCCGT